ACCAAGTAAGCATTTTCTCCCCAACCATTCGAAAGCCTCTGCAGGACCAGTATAATATGCTGAAATTTACGTTGTTTTTCCCCTCAGCCTCCAGCACAGAACTCTGCACATTATATTCACAGCACACCTGTTTAATAAACATTTTAAATAAAATCTCCATGCAGGAGGAGCTTTTTAAAAGCTACAGCGTATTAGCTGTTTTACATACGTGATTTTATTTAAGCTCCCATAAGGGAGGTGTCATTCTCCCCACTTCAGAGGGGAAGCAGGCTCAGAAGGGCAGTGACTCGGGGAACGTCAGTGGCAGTGAACTCAGCCTAGATCTGTCATGACAAGACTCCAAAGTTCTTGATGCTTCCCTCCACCTACCACACCCCGCTCACCTCCAACAGACCAGTCAGTCCAGAAGCCAAGCAAACTCACATTTGCTTGGCATGTCATGTATTCTGATGCTATATGACTTCAAATTATCCTAACTTTAGGAAAGGTTGAAATGCAGCCAGTGAGTGTAGTCATGGTCCCAGCTTTACCTGTGTGAGTCACTTAACCTTTCCCAGCCTGTTTCTATTTTCAAGACCTAACACAATCTGGCCTTAGAGAACGTTTTTCTCCTCATCTCTGGCTACTTCTTCCCAAATGCCCTACGCTGTTCCCCAAACACAACTGTATATATTCGTGTCTCCACGTGTTGCTCTGCAGAATCACCTCTTCTTCCTGCTCCATCTAGCGAAGGCAAACTCATGCCCCACGCCCAGCTCACGGCCCCCAACTAGCAGAGTTAATTGCTTCCTTCCTTGTGCTCCAATGGCATTTAATTCGCGTCTCTTATTTATAAGGCTAGTATTACCTCTCTCCCACACTGGATGGTAAACTCTAGACACAGAGGCGTCTCTTACTCGACTCCACAACCTGAAACTCAGCACAATTCCTGCAACTATTTGACCACCGCAAGGTTTCAGGAAGGTTTGCTGAATTAAGGAAGTCGGGAATATTTGTTGTGATTCAACCAATGTTTACTGAATTAAGCGGTCAACCAACCATGCCTTAAAATGAGTTAAAATGAGAATACCATCTGTCCTTCCTACTTCACAGAGTTTTGCTTTTGTTTGTTTTTGGTTTTTGTATTACTTAATTATTTTATTTTGGCAGTGGTTGGGGGAGGTAGTTAGCTTTATTTATTTTTAAAGGGATTGAACCCAGGACCTGGTGCATTCTAAGCATATGCTCTACAGCCCTCCCTTCAGAGTTCTTCTTTTTTCAATTTTACTTATTTATTTATTTTTACTGAAGTATAGTCAGTTACAATGTGTCAATTTCTGGTGTATAGCATAATGTTTCAGTCATACATATACATACATATATTTGTTTTCATATTCTTTTTCATTATTGCTTACTACAAGATACTGAATATAGTTCCCTAGGCTACACAGAAGAAATTTGGCTTTTATCTATTTTATATATAGAAGTTAGTGCCTGCACAGCTTAAACTCCCAGTTTATCCCTTCCCACTCCTTTTCTCCCCAGTAACAGAGTTCTTTAAATGTTACCTGTTCACCTCCCAACCACCAAAAGGTGGGTTTCCCCCGGATAATCTCTCACATCCCCCTGCATTTTTCCTTGGTCTGTATCAGAATACGTGATGGTAAAGATGTGTGTGAATTACTTGTTTGATGTCTATGTTCCTGTTCACTATTAGACTCAAAGGTCCATACAGGGATGATACAGGTTAAGATAACAGAGATGATATATGTTTAGTTTACCACTGTATTCCTAGCACCCAGCACCCAGTAAGCACTCTATAAACATTTACCAAATCAGTGGTATGAAAATCAGAAGATATAATGCCTGTCAAAAACTATGAATTTTATAGTGATGATTAAGATATAATTATTGGGACTGTATATCCGGTTTATCCCCTCTTAGGTAGCTAAAACAAAATCTGCAGTCTCTTCTCCAGGATCATATGCCTTCAGATGGCAAACTTCTTTCTGCCTCGCCAACAGAGCACTTAAGTCTGATTCATTTCAGTAATAATAGCAATTACTTTATTTTATTTCAGTTCATAATTTACAAAAATACCAGCAGTGAGAAATACTAAATCACCTCTGATCTTACTTAAGATGTTCTATAAAATAAAGGTCAAGTAGCTTTTTCCTTTCAAAAATAACTTTGATTTTGATCCATGGTTCTAATCTTCAAAGCACTACGCAAACACCCTTTACAAGGTGCATGTTTAACACACTGGAACAATTAGCTTGTATTCTCAAGTGAGCGGGCCCAAGCCGACCAACCCAGTTGCTAAGGCAGGCTGGACGTTTGCAGGGGCTCCTCCGTTGCCTGGGTTCCTTCCAAGTTTCTGGAAAGGGCGGGGATGGGAACCTGGCAACCTGTTCTCATGGTCAAAAGCAAGAGAGTGCTGAGTTCTCCTTAAAGAGGGCCTCCAGAATTGCATACCTTTTGGGCCCCATGAAACTCAGATGCACCCCTGTGCTAACTGCTTTCAACCCTGTAATGAGATGACTTTCTCTCTGTAGTGTCCATGACCCACATGACAGGGCAGTATATTTAACAGCAGTTTGTTTTTTTTTTAAGTCTAGTTCTAATCATGGAAGTCATGCTCTCATAAACAACCTTTTTTAAGTCTTTCTAAAAAGAGAGCATTATGTCTGAATGATTATTTTTTCTAGACCCACATACATCCCTCTTTCTGCTTAATAAGCACAGCTCACGTGCTCTCCACTCACAAGAACTCTAACAAGTAGGTATTACTAATTTTCCCATTTCACGGAAGAGGAAACTGAAACCTAGAGCAGTTAAGTGACTGTGCCCAAGATCAGACAGCTAATAAAGGATACATGAGCCTGGGGTTTCACCCCAGGGCTGCTGGCCACTCTTAATCTCTACCTCGCCTACTTGCAGGGTTCCTTGACAGCAGAAATTAGGTCACTGAAGTGCCTTGTAATTCCCCACAGAGCTGATGATAAAAAGCTGGCACTCAGTAAACTATTTAAGAGAATACCTATTGTAACCCAATCTCTAATACTGTGACGCTACTGTGAATATTCCTAAATGATGAGGTCATCAGATCTTTCAGGAATGATACAGCGTAGAAAACAGGGCCAGATGTCGCCACGGTTTGTAGCTACAAATCAAAAAGCACTCGGCGAGAGGGTCCAGTGGAATCCAGGTTATACAGAAGCTTTTCAAGCTGCATCGCTGATGCAGTCTTTGAATTGGAACACAAGCATATTTACATATATCTGGGAGAAAAAGAATGCAGAACAGGTTTATTAGAACTCTTTTTTTTTAACCAAAAACTACATACACAAGACAGACCAAATGTTTTGTCCTTTGAATGTGGCCCTCTCTGAGTGATTGCCTGGACGCTCAGTGAATCCTGCAGGAGGGGAAAAGCATGGCTACCTAACTGAAAACAGTTAACTCAGTGCCTTCGTATAGACACGGCCTAAAAGCGTTTCAAGTGTAATGTATTGAAACTGCCTGAAAGGCCGCCATTTGGCACCAAGACCAACATCAAAAGGCAATGCTTCTAATGAGCATCTTCAGCTAAGAGACAGCATTTCAACACCGGGAAATAAAAGGCCATAATGGCACCACTGGCCACGCCAAATAATTTATATCCCTTTATGTCAACACATGGTTTTAAGGTTTGGGACCAAGAGGTAATAACAAAAAGGGGGCGCACTGATGTGCCTGTGACCTTCAGATTGACTTCTGACTTTCCTGCTGTATTACGGTATTACTGTATTGCTAGTAATAGTTTCACCACATGGTTTTTTTCCTATGAAAAACTCTGCCTCTCACAGAGACCTAGTCACTAGGATTCAGAGAGGTCCTCAGGCCTTCACTCTGCCTAAGAGGCCATCTCTGACAACACTGCTCAGAGACTCGCTGAGTATTTTAAGAGATGTGCAAAGTTCTCTTCTGAATCTTCTTATTCCTTTTGAACTAAAGGCATCTTAACCTTAGTCTTTTTGGCGTCAAAGCTCAAATGGCCATTATCAGTATATGGCCTGCTGAGTCCTGTTTACAATTTTGTTTAATTCCTCACTATTTTGAAGATTGGAAAAATGACATTTATAATTCTCTGCCACTTCTTTTAATGTTCCAGACGTTTCTTGATGCGTATATACTGGTTAGGTGATGAAACTGAAGAATTATCAGTTATGGAATTTACATTAAAACATTTATACTGACGCGTAAGACGTGTGTGTGCTCACAAACCCAATACTTAAATAGCACAGGAGAGCCTTTTTAAGATGCCTTTGTCTCCTCCCAGGCTGACGACTGTTCCTAGAAGACTGATGGGGGCAGGTGCTGTCCCTTCCCACCGCCTCCCCCCTCCACCCCCCGCCAATTGGTTCTGCTCTTCGGCACCACAAACCCAAGATCTGCAAGGGAAAGTTCAAACCATTCTTTAGCAACAGGTAGTCAATCACTTGTTTTACACCAAGACAGGAAGGACTGTCTGTAAAATAGCTTTGGAGGTCTGCCAGTAGCACTGAAGTCCCTTTCCGTCTGGAGAGCAGCCCCACTTCTCTAACTCTGAAGACATAAACGCAGGGAATTCATCAAACTAATATTAAAGAGAGGGCTCTGTCGCCTTAAAAAATTAAGTGCTTGGATCAGAAATTCCAAAGTCTATATTTCAGGCAGTGTGAAGTTTACAAGATGCTGTCTGTAATTTTCAAAACTGAGTTTGGCAGGGAACAAAAACATCTGTCATGTCTAAAGATTAGTTTTTGAGTGACAAAATGGTGCTGTTTATTTTGAAAGGCAATTAAGATGTTGTTCCCTGTGACAGAAAAAATACAGATATAGATTACTTACATTAAATGACATGTTACCTATCTGAGGAAGTCAATTAATGATAAGTGTATTCGAAAGAAAAGCACTATGCAAAACCCTTAGAATTTGGGGGTTCCAGTGACTAATTTTTCCCTCTTACGGCTGCCTTAATTAAGCACCTACAGTCCTACGAACAGCACACCCATACCATAATTTTTTTTTGCAAACAATTACTATCTTAATTCTTGAATTATCAAGCTGAAGAAACAGCCCCCATTTAAATCAACAAACCCTTAGTTTAATCAGTTAGCAAAGAGACTTGGATGAACTTCCTTTATTGAACAAAAATGTATCGTGCTATTTTAGTGTTTTTTAAAAATTAGATCTTGGGTAAAGGAACCTGGAAAGAAGTCAACAAGTTCTACTACTGGGGGAAGAAAAGGGAAGCTTCTTGAAAAATTGACTCTAAAAGATAATGTTAAGTGTTAGACTAATGAAAACAGCCCTGATTGGTCGATCTTTAGAACCTTTGTAGTGGGAATGGTAATTCAAAAACCATTAAATAAATGACAGGCCACCCATCCATTATGTCTGGATTTTATTCTCTTTTAGTTTAACTGTTGAATTTTAAGCAAATTCTAGGTTATTCTCAGTACTTTAAAATATGCTAATACTTGTTGAAAGAAAATTAACTTTTTGGTTTTTGGACAGAATTGCGAAAAGTTTTCCCCATTCTTAAATATGACTTTCTTACATTCAGTTAGATTTTGTTTGGGAAGACACATTTCTGATCTTAAAATTAAAACCAGCAAGAACAAAAAAAATATAGCTCACCACCACTGTACTCACAGCAAACACTGCTGAAACATCCTAATTTGTTTAATGCGTGATATTATATATACTTCATATACGTGCTAGTTAGTTTTGGGGTAGCAAAGGTGAATCTGGTGCCACTTCTTAGAAAACCAGTCTTGTTCATTCCTTGACTGTTACAAATGAAGCTGGCAAAGAACTGTAAAATTATCAAATAAACATACAACTTAACCATTCCAGATCCAGATCAAATAATTTTCCACGAAACATCCAAAATTTCCGTTAGAATAAACTCAAATTTGCTAGGTAATTCCATAACCTTTCACTTTATTCCTAAGGAACAGAAGGTCCCCAAATGACAGAAGGACAGCAGATATGATTCCTCTGGTATATTAGGGTGAGCACACCTTATATCTAAATTCTCATGTGCACCCAGTGGAGCAGAGATTGAACTACCATTGTCCCTGGAGAAAATAGACTAGAGGAAAAAACAAAACAAAACAAAAACAAAAACAGCCACCACCAACAAAACATATATGTTTTGTGTGTGAAAGAGAGACACTGCTTTTTTGTTTTTATTTTCATCCTGACCCTTTGGCTTGAATTCTACATTTTTTTAAAACTGTGGTAAAAACAATACTTTAATGGAAAATTGTTTCCCTTCGGAAAACCACTCAACTTCTTTCTTTTGTTAAGTAACCTCATATGTGTTTCGCGTTCTGCCTTCTTCCCATCCTACTCCGGCCACAATGAGGACTCTTCCCTTCCAGAGAACACCTATCTGAATGCTGCCGTTCCCTGGGCAGCCATGAACATCCCAATCTGGGATTCCCTGGGCATGTACCCAATGCAACCCCCTGGGGATCCACCCATCACGACGTTGGAAAGGGCGGCTAGGCGATCCCCCAAAGTCCCCACCGAAGATCAGGTCCCTACCGTCACATCCCCACCTAGAGAAGAGAAGGTCCCAGAAATACACACCCCCGTACAGGGAAATCGCGCCCTGGAGACCCACAGACAGGATGATGGGAAAGGGCATGCCCGA